CCCCATCCTGCCCAAACCCCCCGGGGAGCTCACGGCCGAGGCCCCCCAGAGCACCCATGAGGCCCATCAGGGGGCACCCGGAACCGAAGCCCTGTCCCCCCTCTCTCCATGCTCTCCGCGAGTGAACGCGGAAGGCTTTTCCTCCAAGAATTTCACCACGTCGGCCTCAGCCAGGGTGGGGCGCTCCCGGGCCCCCCCCGCGGCCAGCAGCAGCCGCTACAGCGTCCGCTGCAGGCTGTACAACGCGCCCATGCAGGCCATCTCCGAGGGCGAAACGGAGAACTCGGACGGCAGCCCGCATGACGACCGCTCCTCCCAGAGCTCCACGTAGGTGGCGCGTGCCAGGCTGGCCGTCAAAGGTCCGCACCTCAGTCACGTGATGGAGGTGGAGGCGCAGAACGGAAGTCTGGGGGAAGGCAGCACATCTCCACTGCATACCAGCGAGTTCCTAAATACGACGTGCTGGGCAAAGGGAAGTTGGTTTGGTCTTTCTTGATTATTTCCCACGTTTCTAGGTAGCTGCACTGTCTTTCATATTTTTCTTTAGCATAGTTTGATTTACCCAATCTCATTCCTTTTGATAATAAAGAATTTCAAAATGTCTGCTTTTCATGAAAGCTAGAAAAAGTTTTCCCAGAGCTACCTATTCAGAAAACAAACCCCTCACTGTCATAACTCTTAAGAAGATGAAATTACTCTGGAGGTTTGGTATTTTTTTACATTAAAATGAACTAAAGCAAAATTTAGAAGAAAGAACTACACACATGTAAATACCATATTTTTGATAAAACTGTGTAAATAGATTTATCAATGACGAGTGGACACGTGGCCAATTATCTACCACACACCAACTGTTTATAGAACACAACAGATAAAGTGTAATAACTGTATTCTGTGAATACCATTTTCATATCAAATACCATAGTTAAATGTCCACCAATATGATTTCCGAGTGATAAACATCAAATATGAATTTTTAAACTGGTCAAATAAAGGAAATCTTGAGGTCATATACTGAAATGTGATTAATTTAAAATAATGAATTCAGACTTAACCATTTTGGTGACAGATTGCAGCACCAAACAATTAGTAACACATGGCTGTGATTTGCCATGTGGTAATTTGGACAGAATGAAAAGCATGCTTTTGATTTAAAAAAAGGAGAAATCAATGAGAGAAATCATCATTCTCAACACAAAGCCCTAAACAACAGCACTTGACAGTGTCCTTTAAACTTCAATTTTTCAATGGATTGCTTTAAAGAGAATGAGTAGGGAAAACAGTAGTTCATTTTAGGTTACATTCTATATTAGGCTACTGGGGACATAAACAGTCATAATCTAATGACTATAATCTTTAGACTCCTTAAACAGTTTAGCAATTAGCTCCAGGTTCTTTAACTAACAGAAACAAACCATAAGCATGCCACAGAGCTGTGGATTTCTCAGTAAGTACCTGCAATGAGTTTTCAGTGAAGCTCTTTCTCTGTGCTGATGAGATTCATGCTACCTACAAAGTAACAGAAATGACACTGTGAACAATGTACTTGGGAAATAGGTCTGTGTATATGCATTATTTATATTCTCTGTTAAACTGGGAACAGCTCTGGTTCACAATGCTACATATGACTGAGTGTCTGATTTTACTCTATTTGCTTGATGGCAAAAGGGGAGGGTGGTGGGTGGGAAAGGAGATGTCAGGGCAAGTGCTCTGATAAAATGAAGGCAGGGAAACAAGCTGAATTACTTGAAATTACTTGAATTTTCTTGTCTTAAAACTGAAAAAATATACTTACAAGTTGAAATCTGCAAATGGTTTTTACACCTCTGATTTTAACATGAACTGATACTAATGTTTGAAAATGATATGTCAGAAATATGAGCAGCTATGTACTTAGAATATGTTTTGAAAGGGAGAAGGTAGAAAGTAGAGAACTAAGAAGGGATATGGCCTATAAAAGAATAGAATGTGATTAGAACGATAGAACATACCAGAGTTACCAAGAAATTGACAAGCAGCTGGCTTTAAGCTTACGCAAGTGGTATTTGGGAAAGTAGGATGTGTGAAAGGAAGTTTGTGGTTTGGTTTCATTCATGCAATACGAAGGAAAAAGCCTGGTCTAAGAAGATGCTGTCTTTCAATAGAAACACTTTCTAAGACGTTACAGAGTGAGAATTACAGAATCTGATTGCTGTTGGGTTTCTGTTTCTTTGAAAAGAAAAAAAAAGGCTGTCTTATTCTACTATTTGTCTTCACTATCAAATTGTGTTTAACTTCTTGTCATCCTTGTATGTAAAATGGGTGCTGGGGGTGGCGGGGTAGAGGAGGGAGAACGTGTGTGTGCACGCACGCGTGCGTTTGCTAGTGCTGGGATAGATAAGCTACTTGGTAAAGGGTACATTTGAACATTTACGAAATGTTATACTTTTTACTAAAAGAAAAATGTTTGGGGGTTTGAAAAAATGGACCATAATTTCTCACTGGAACCCGTGTGTTAAGAAAACCAGCGTGGTTTGACACCACATGGGAACACAAATAACTTTTCCTCATGCTTTGAAAAGTAAACTTGGCAAACTTTTAAAAATAAGGTTTTTAGACAAATGCGATAAGAAACAGTCATTTCCAGTCACAATAGGTGATATTTTGTAATTTTCATAAAAGCAGTTCGTTTGCAGTATGGCTTTTGTGTAGTTAGGGGTTTTTTAAGCGTATAAAGAAAGGTACGTGGGCTTTAAAAGTGATTCTAAATCTTGAACAGAAAACACACGAATTGGCTTTAACAAGTATGTCACCTCCTTATTATTGACATTAACTTAAGTAATGGTACCATATATATATTTTAAAATACATACCAACTTGAATTTTGAGGCAATAAAATACCTTCTATATGTAATGATCACAGAATTAACCCTTATAATATAGTTTTACTTATTTTGTTTACTCTAAAAATCTATAGCAGAGTTTCTCTATTTTATATTTCATAGATTTTAAAAGACACCCAAATAAAGATGGATTTAAAATTCACTGTGGAAAAGAGTACTGAGTAACAAACTGAGTTTAAAAAAAATCAAATTCCTTAGTCATTTGGAATATTCTACATGGCTTTATCACATAGCATGTAAGACCAAGATTTAGAGGGCCGTCTTCAATATCACTGCCGTCTTGAAGCAGGGTACACACATTAGGTATTGTGAAGAACATCAATCCAAACTTTTCCTCTGTTGTTTGCACTGATGCTGATTTTTTTGCTGTTGTTGTTATTTTACGTTTCTACAACATGTCTGTGTTGTGTGGGGGAAATTTTTTTCCTTACTTTTTGAGTTTTGGGTTTTTTTGTGTTTTTTTTTTTGGCTAAGTAGAGGACATGGACTAGTTGTAGCAAACAAAACACACTGTTTGCTCTTGCCAAAGTTCAGTCAGTGAGTACATTTGCTGCAGGGGTGGCAGACTTAGAGAACTAGATCAGGACAAAGATTTAAAACTATGAAGAAGGTTACAGTGTAACTATTTTGGTCCTAGAACCAGTTCATGCTGGCTGAAAGACAATGGTTTATGGACTTGCATCCATTTTGTATTTTTGTAATATTTGTAAATATGAACTTTTTAAATTGTTGCAAAAATGGTTTCTTTTGTAAGATGTTTTCAACGTTTACATTCAATTCAAGCCTTTGTATATTTTAGAGCTGTGCAACACTTTAAGTCTTGTATTTATTTTTAGTAAAAATGGTGACAGTTTCATTGTGAACCCCTCTCAAAATAATGTACCAGAAAAGTTTGATTACCTAGAAAGTGTGTATAGAAACTGCAAATAAACGTGACTGCAAATTAAACACCTGACTTCTTTTCATTGTTATGTAAATACATTCTTAGGATTTCACAAACAACAGGTTTTTCATAGGGAACTGGACAAAAAGGAGGGGACTGCTATGGCACAAGTGTGAGCAAAATAATAATAGTAATAATAAACATCGTCTCTATAATGGGCTCTCACCTTGCTTTGCGTTTGAGAGGAGAAAGAATACATTTCCAGTGTCCAGTATACTTTCCCTGTAGCTACTCTCTAGACCCGGAAAAGACTTAAGGCTTTTCTTCAAAGGAGCCTGCTTTGCTTCTATCATTACTGATACTGTGCCTCCTTCCCAAAATGGGCAACCTTGACATACCTAAGACAATATGCCACTAAGTAATGTCCTGTACCCTTTATTACACAAATTTATGTGCTGGATACCCTTCTAAGTGCTTTGTTTACTCATGTACACCCCCACACTGTGCCCATTTTACGGATGGGGAAACTGAAGTACATAGCTGTTTACCTCAGCTGAATTGCCGAAAGCCATAGAGCGCTTAAATGCTGGGGCTGGGGTACAAACCCAGCAAATCTGGCTCCAAGGTCTGTGATACCTCACCCTGTGGAAAGACAACTTTTAAAAATAACTTTTCCCGGTTTGTACCAAACTACAATTGCTTAAACCCAGTCCCCTCCTCCTTCGAATTCCAGGACTGAGGTGCACACCTAGGACTGAGCCAATGTCTACGTCGGTGGTATCGGGGAATTACATTAAAAAAAAAGCTTCAAAGAACTAACCAACGAGAGTGGGGAGGCCACACGCCAACACGCCTCACCCTAGCGAGTAGCCTCCACGAGCCCGCACCGCCGCAGGGAGAGTCGCGCGCGCCGGCAAGCGCAGCCGCAAAATCCTCCTCAACCTTAGAAGCTTGTGTCTTTGGTCTAGCACTGGGCTCCACCACCACCTCTGGAACACTCAGAGGCAGGCACTGCAGCTGCGCAGTAGGAAGCAAAGCCCCACCCCCTCGGCTATCTCCCTAGCAACGTCCCGCCCCACAGTGGCGGCACAGGTTTCGGCAGGATTGGTTGGCTAACGGCCCAGGCGTGTGTTGTAGCAGCCACTGATTGGCCAGAGGACCCTGCGTACCGCGGGTGGTTCCTGGTGCGAGTTTGGGTCCCCCAACTTCCGTGGAGCTCGCGGAGTGCGCATCACGTGATTTGGCTCTACTTCCGGTGCGAGCGGTCGCGTAGCCCTAACGGTTTTACCGGTCGCCGCTCCGTGAGGCACACCACCGCTAGCCGGTTCCCGCGCCCTCTGGAGGCCAGTGTGGCAGGCTCTGGCGCCGGAAAAGGTCTGTCAGTGGCATTTTTTCCCCTCCCTTTAAACTTTCTTGCCTTGTGTGTGCGCTAGAAGCAGTTGAGGAGCGATTTGGCTTCGCGGCTGGGGAGCTCTGATGTGAGGGGGCGGGGAAGGAGCATTTACCTCAGGCAAGAGAAAGGATTTGTTTTTCCGGAAGAGCGAGTCTAAGCTGGAATTTAAGCTGCGCTGCAGATGGGGTGATTTGGGATGGTTCGAGGTGGTTTTAGATGGTTTGGAGTGGTTTGTGGTAGTTCCGGCTGCTTTCGGCTGGTTCGGAATGGTTCCCATCGCTTGGCCCGGGATGCCAGCGCTTGTGAGCTTTGGAGATTTGGCCAGTTATTGAGTACTTGGTGATGACTTTCTGGGAAGAGTTGATCCTTTTTCATCCATTCTCTTACTTGGCAGGTGGGGGTGGGGGGCGAGGCACGACCAAGACTCTCAGACTTTATATAGAATTTTGAGTTTAAAGAATCTATTAACTAGCAAGTTGGTTTGTTATAACATTTTGTGAGATGAGAACGTTGATTTTGAGGCTTTGATGGCAACCACGTTCGATCAAAGACAGTGCAGCCTCGCTGTTGTAAATTAGTGAGCGAGGTGAAAGAATGTAAGGATGTGGATTGAGCACGGTTTGATAACTTGTTAGGGATCGCTTCCCTCCTTCCTCTAACTGGCTCTGCTCTAAACTTTTAAACTGGTTTAATGTTTACAAGTAGTGACTTTATAAGCAGTTTTTCTGCACGGTGTTTTATAAAGCAGGCTCGATTCCCTGTTGGGCGATGGGACACAGTTTGGGCAGCATTATCCTCCATCTGGCCGAATTTACACTCTAAAGTGTGATACGGACAGAAGGGCTGCTTTTGAGAGTCCTGACAGGATTTTTAGAACGTTATCTGTGCACTGACACAGTTTTGTTAAAGAAAAAAATTGGAGTGATCTGACTATTGTAATCTGCTCTGTTTTGCCAAGTATTCCTTGAAGTGGTTGTCGGGTGAAACAATGTTTTCTTCCCTCATTGTGATAAATTGATGGCGAGTGAATGCCTTACACCTTGGGAGCAGATTGAAGTGACGTTTGAAAAATCTCTTTGAAATGTCTAAAATGTGTCTTTTTAAAAACCAGATGCTTTCTTGTTTTTATGTTTTAAAGAGTTTAGATTTTTTTATCATGAAGTGTAAATGGGCGTCATTTTAAGTAAACTTATTTTGCAGGATTTTGAATTTAACGAATTATATTAATTTTACATAATCTAGTCATGGTTGGGCTCTAAGAAAATGTTGCTTACCTTGTGGGAAGAAGTGAAGGGGACCTAAAACTTACGTTGTGCTATGAACCAGACAAAATGCTGAGTGCTTAATTTAAGTCATTTGATCTTACATAGCCCTGTGAACTAGCTATTATTCCAACTTTATAGGTTAAGAAATTGAGGCACAGGGGGGTGGGTGGGAAGGGATAGACTGAGAGTTCGAAATTTGTAGATAACTGACAGGCATATGTAGAATAGATAAACAAGATTATACGATATAGCACAGGGAAATATATACAAGATCTTGTGGTAGCTCACAGTGAAAAAAAAAGTGACAGTGAATATATGTATGTTCATGTATAACTGAAAAATTGTGCTCTACACTGGAATTTGACACAGTGCTGTAAATGACTAACTCAATTAAAAAATGTTTTTAAAAAAGGGAGGTAAAATCCCAGCCTAAAGCAAAATAGCAAGTTTTGCCATTTGGATTCAGATTTCGATATTTCTTTCTTTTTTTAATTAAAAATTGTTTGGGGGGGTGAGAGGTAATTAGGTTTATTTATTTTTTTAATGGAGGTACTGGGGATTGAACCCAGGGCCTTGTGCATGCTAAGTATGCACTCTACCACTGAGCTATACCCTCCCCCACAGATTTAAGTATTTCTTAAAGCCCAATTCTTTGCACAATGCTTAAAATTCATCTAGGAGAAATGGTTGCTATATCTGCAGTGTAAGGGTGCAGTGTGAATGAAAATGACATGTTATGATCCAGAGGATTTGTTGTCCACATGCTCCATAACAAGTAGATTTGTTGGGAGGATGTCATGAATACCCAAATAATAAAATAATAGTACCCAATAGCAAACACCTTTGTTATGTCAGTCATTGTTCTAAGCGCTTGACATGTATTAATTCATGTGATCCTCATAACTCCATGAGGTTTGTACTGTTATCCCCATTTTATGGATTTTTTTTAAAGCACAGAGAAGTAAGTTGTCCAAAGCCACACAGCTAGCAGGTGGAGGAGCTAGGACCTAAACCCTGTATTCTGATCCAGACCCTAAGGTCTTAATGCTATTTGATGTTGCCTCTTCTGTAACTAGCCAACATGTGACAATTGCCTTAAAAGCATTAAAGTGTGAGTGTTCTGGTACTTCTGGGAAAGCAGTGTCACTTCCAAATAGGGTGACATAGCAGCTTTGCTTTGTGGAGATGGAAGTTGAATTAAGCCTTTAAGTTTTGAGTTGGTTCTCCGAAGTGGAGAGGTCTTGCAGGGTGCAGGGTATTGTGAGCAGAGGAGATGACAGGCGTAGAAGTTCAGAGTGCAAGAAGATCATTGTTGATTTGTAAATATCCCACAGAGACAGAAATGTCGGGAATCTGCTGATAGACCCAATGTATGCTGCTTCTGTGTCTGCAGCCAAGTGTTAGCATCCTTGTAATTAATCCAGTAGGGAGCTGCCTGATTGTTAAGGGTCTGTAACAGTGGCTGGCAAACTTTGTCTGTAAAAGGCCAGATGGTAAATATCTTAGGCTTAGAGCAAGGGGACACATGTTAAGAGGTGACCTCTGAGTGGTGTGGAGGCACCTGTGTAAAGACCTTGTAGGCCATGGTAGGAGTTCGGATTTTGTTATTGTTACAGAAGGGATTCCAGATGATTTTAATAATGAAGAAGTAAAGCCATTGACTCTGGAGCCAGAGTATACCACTTACTAGCTATGAGACCTGGGTAAATTACTGAAAGTCTCCTTGCCTCAATTTTCTCTTAAGGAAAATGGGGATGATAATAGAGCCTGCCCTGCAGGGTTGTCAGGAATACTCAGTGAATCAGCGTATATCAAGTGCTTAGAACGCTGCCTGGCACAGAGTAAGCAGTAAAATCTGTAAGATACTATTATCTATACCTTGTAGTATATTCCAAATTTTCTGCAGTGAAACTATATTTAATGAAAAATTATATATTGAAATCTATAAAACCAAACTGTTAGAAATAAGGTGAGAGTATAATAAATACTCTAGAGTTGGGAAACTCACTGTCCTCATTCTGTGCGAGCTCAGGTGGAGGTGCAAGGCTGCCGTGCAAGGTCCTTTGTCAGAGCAGACTTGAGAAGGGATTTGTGAATATCCATGAAATGGGACTGGCTCAATAAGTCACGGCCTGTTTGCGAGATAGGAAACTAAGAGATTGTTAAAGTGACTACGGTATACGTAAAGTTACTGATTTGGAAGAACTTGTTTACTTTTGCTTCTTTGAGCTTTAGGTCAGTTGAATCGTATGCTGTATTCTTTTCTGTGTCTGGCTTTTACTCATCGTTCGGTTGTGAGATTTGTCCTCGTGTGTAACAGTAGTTGGGTTATTCTCATTGCTGTGTAGTCTTCCTGTGTATGAAGAACCATGATTTAAAGTATTCACAACTTGTATTAGTCTTATAATCAGAAAAAATAAACATAGTCTAAAAAAGCAAAATCTGGTTAAGTTACAGCTCAAATTGGAGGTATTTAATAACTTGAATTTATTCCACAATGTTAGACTGCATTTCTCTAACTTGAAAGTTCATTTTCCCTTGATCTGCCTCTCATTACTGCCCTGGCGCAGGATGGATAAATGAATTGGCTCTCTCATTAACACCCCTCCTGGTACTGTGAGGCCAGCGTTCAAATCTACTACAAGATATAATATGCTAGCATTGGACTCAGTGTCTTTTTGTGGTCGAACAGCTGAATGACTGAGAACCATAACCGAGCCTACATAATTCTAGAAGAGCTTTGGCTTATTTTTCACATACATTTATTTAAAGTTTAATACAAAATTTAACTACGGAAGCAATTGTACTCTCAGCGCTGAAATGACCTTAGACATAATCTCAATCAGTTTTCACTTGGCGGGGGAGGAGGCGATGACTTTAGAGGTCACCCCGGCCACACACTGTGGTGGAGGCCCAACCCGGAATAGACTCCCGAATCACCTCTGGAGGCCGGCAGCCTCTCTGGGTAAAACGCTGGGTAAAAAGTCTCTGAGCTCCTTTACGGAAGCGGTTAGGAAGCATGCTGTTGCTCACTTGTTTCCAGCATTTACTCTGTAGCCTCTACGTTGTGAAGCATTCATTTCACAATTTGAACCAGTATTTGATCTTGATTCTTATTCCTGTGCATTGGCAATAAAGCCCTTCAGTTTTTAAAGGTTTATTCTAAATCAGTTAATGGAAGAACTCTTGTTTTGTCACTCTCCAAAATTCAGCCATGACTCCAGTTCAACTTGAGTTGGCATTCTGAGAACATATCCATATTATGTTTATTAAGGCAATGTGTGAAGTGACTGTTTTATGCATTGCTTTTCAGGAATAAAAGGTTTACCAGTCCTAGGTGACCAAGCACTTTCACAAATAAACCCTCCAGCAAGTTTATAACTAATTAGGCCCAACTCAGAGGAAGTGGAGCTGCTCCTGTTGCACAAAAAAGATGTCTAGCGGCTCCAGTGAAATTGATGTGGTTTGTATTTCAAATCGAAAATCTCTTTGTTCTTTTCATTGTGTTCTATTTCTTTTCTAAATTGAAATTAATTTCATACAGTGAAATGCAGAGATGGCAAATGTACAGTTCATGAGTTTTAGACAGTTATATATAAAGCCACATGAACATTTGTATACAAGTTTTTAAATTGTAACTACTTACCGAGAGTCATTCTTTTTCCTCACTCTTTTCACATAATTATTTGAAAGCACTTTGAAAAGCATAAGGCACTATATAAAGATAAGACGGTATATTTTATAACTACTATTCTGTAGCCCAATTCCACATTATTTTGTTTCTGTCTTTTGAAACAAAAACATACATACTTCTAAGTATGTTAAAAATTATTCCTATAGTTCTTAATCCATTCTTAGGATGAAGAGTTATTAAATGAAATGTAATGGTTGTTTACTGTCTATTGACTTATTTATATCCTTATTCCCCCCAAAATGTTTTTAGGTGATTTAGGGATTAATTATCAAGAAAAATAGGTGCTTAAGTATTTCCTATTTTGTCCACAAAGTGGCACTGTTGGATTATTTAGAAGTCAAAAGCCATGAACAGGGTTCCTTGTAGTTAGAAATACTTGCTTTTACAGCAGTTCTGGTGCCAAATTACTAGAAGACTAGTCTCTCTACCCCAAGGTCCACCAGAGGAAAATGATGTTGGGTTAATGAGAAAACAGTTTTGCAAGTACATCTTTTCCTGTAGTCACAGTATTTACAATGGACTGAGGTCCTTTATTATCACAAATTGGCTTTTGGAGCTTCTTGAAAGTGAAGTCCTCAATTTTTCTTTGAGTTCTATCATCTTTCCTTTTAATTTGTTAATAAATCTTCCTTAGATAAGAACACGAATCTCTACTTATGATGATGATAACACTGTTCTTTATGCATATGAACCAAATACTGCATTTTTCAATAATGTAAGTAAAGTTAATTGCCATTTGCCAAATATATTAACCATTTTAAAGAAAAAGCTTTAAAATCTTCATAGAGTTCCTCTAAACTCACACTTAAGAAAATACTCATCTCTCCTGAATTTGTCTGCTTTCTTTCATTAGACGGTGAGCAATTAACCATTTTACTTCCCTCTTTTCCTTGTAGAGTAGGAAACTCAGAGTAATTTTTACTCATCTTCAGGGCAAAACTAAACCTAGGTCTTTCTAATTAATAAATTATTTCCTTGCTTCCTCTTAATTAGCTGTGATCATTTTCATTCTCATATTAATGTAAGGTTTTTATTTTGTCTCTACTTTAGATTAAGGCTTCTGAAACTCTTTGAAAAGTCGGTGAAAATAAAAACAATTTAAGTAAATAGATATATAGTGTTTTTTTTTCTCGTAGTGTTTAGTTTGACTTTTACAGAAGCATTAACTACTTAACTTTTAAAATATTAGCAGGAAAATATTGTGTCTGACACAGCCTACAACGAAGAGCAACAAAAAACAGTTCTGGATGTCCTTACTCACTGCCAGGTACAAAAGATTCTGTCTCTCAAATGTAGTTTTCTAAAGTATTAAGCTATCAAGGGTTTTGTGAGCTGCATACCCTAGAAGTAAAGAACGTTTATTAAAAAATGTTTCTTAACATGTAAAGTTTCTTAATTAAAATGAGCTAGCATACTTTGAAAAGTAAAAGATGCTTATGTGAGTCTTTATCATTATTACTCTTGAGAAGAGAAGTGGAATACTTAAAGGGAACCTATGGTGTCTTCTGGGGAAGGATGTCCAGAGGGTGGGACTGTAGGGGTGACATAGAGAGTTCTGACTTTGAGCAGGGCCATCCCTGGCCTGCTTTACATCAGTAAACATGATGAACTAGGTTGACACTGCTCTACCAGGACCTTCTGAGCGATGTGCAGGATGTGGTGAGACAGAGCATCTACAATAAGAAATGCCCAGATTCCAAAGTCACGGCCCTGAAACACCCCTCAGGGATCCTCTCCATTTCTCTTAATTTGACAGCTCCCTCCTTTCTTCAGCTCCTTCCCAGTCTGGGCCACATGGTGCAGCATTTCATCTTTTCCTTTTTTTGATCCTTGCCCACCATTGCCCGGTGATTTTCAGACAACCCCAATCTTTGTCTCTTATTTCATGGAGAAAATGGAGGACGTGGAACAGAAATCTCCCCCCGAGTCCTGATTCCTCTCCCCACAGCCAACAAACTTGCCTGGATCCATCTCTCTGCTGACCTCCTTCCCGACCATTCAAACGGGAAGGTGTTTTCCTCTGCCAGGCTAACACCTTCGCTGGTTTCTGCATCCAACCCTCTTCCCCTGTGTTCAGACACCTCCCTTCATTGGTCGTCCCTCTCTCCCCTACATCTTCAGCCTCTGTCTCTATCACTCTCAGCATATTCATCCTCCTACAGTTTTTAAAAAATCATTTCTTTTGGCCTCTTCAGCTATTATCCTCTCTTCTTCCCTTCATAACTGAGCTCTTTGAATGTCATTTCTATTTACTATCTAAACATCTAACTTCCTCTTTTCTGTTTGGGTATATTGAGGGTTTGTTTCTTTTAATTTTTTTATTGAAATATAGTTGACTGACAGTATTGTGTTAGTTTCAGGTGTAGAGGATAGCGATTTTTTTTTGCAGATTATATTCCATTATATGTTACTATAAGATACTGGGTATAATTCCCTGTGCTATAGTAAATACTTGTTTCTTATCTATTTTATGTATAGTAGTTTTTATCTGTGGATCCCATATTCCTAATTTGTTGGGTATTTTTGAATATAGTGTTCCTTCTGCCCTGTGTGCTCTTCTGTGCATCTTTACCTGGTGAACACCTTCTCATCTCTTCATTCTCAATGTAGAAATCTCCTTCTCTGAAAATCCTGCCTCGACTGCCAGCCTGGATCAGGTCTCATTCTTCTGTGTACATGTAGTGTCGTGGCCATAACAGGTGACTGAGCACTACTGGACCAGTCATCATGTAGTATTATTATCATGTTAGTATTAACATACTATAGCACGTTGTTTTGTCCTCAAGAGAACTCAGATATTTTCATCCTGATGCTATTCATAAGGAAACTGAAGCACAAGAGAAGTTAAGTAACTTGCCCAACTAATAATGGCAGAACTCTAGTACTTGAACCCGACTGTGTTCGCCTAGAGCCTGTGCTGTAAGCCAGTGGGTCTCCTGCTTGGTTGTGCATCAGAATCACGTAGAGGGCTTGTGAAAACACAGATTGCTGCTTTCACTCTCAAGAGTTCCCAGTTTGGTAGATCTGAGGTGGGAGATTTTGCATTTCCAACAATGTTGATGTTGCCGGTCCCTGGAGCCCCCGACATCCACTGTTCCAGGCTGCCATATTCTCTGTTGAAATTGTCTCTCTACTTGCATCTCTCTCAAGCTAAAAATGGGAGTTCCTTAGGGCAGGAGCTGGTTGGTTGGTTGGTTGGTTTTTATGTCTGCATTCCCAGCATCTAGCAAAGGGGTTCTGATGGGGTAGGCCCTGAATAAATGTTTGTTTGAATGAATGAATGAGGTAATGGCTCTGGGCTCTTTATTTAAGTGTATTTTTTGCCCGAATGAAATTTCTGTGTATTTCAGTTCTCAGGTTTTATCAGTCACATACCTGACTGGTATACGGGGGCCATGTACTCAAAGGTTTTGTAAGGTTAATGTTAATTACATGATTGTAAAATACTCTGATGCCAAAAGTCACATCGGTTATATTTGACTCACTGTTCTTTCCACAGTGGACCACTCACTGCCTGTTAATTTATACCATCATTACATGCAAAGAGGCTCTTTGGCCTTTTAGCAGATTTGAACATATTTTTCTTAAAATAGCACCTTCCTTGATGTAGAATGATTCCAACATAAATGTGATGGCTTATAGAGCTTGTGGTACATTTACTTTCCAGTGTTCAAGCTTCTTAAAATGCCTGTGGGACGAGGAGTAGCTGAGTGGGAGGTCGGGGCTCCTTATCTCAGCCAGCTCAGCTCTGTGTCACTACCAACCAGGCATCAAATGGGAAACAAGAAATTTCTCACCACTTGAGAACTTTGTTTCTAACAGTCAAAGTTTGGCTTTATGGTATTTTCTTATATGTTACATTTCTTTCCAAATAGGAATTACTAACAGTTTGTATTACAATAGGTCATCTATGATGCTATTCAAGACCTGGATAAGAAGTTTGATGTTATTCATGGAAAGGTTACAAAAATCCACCGTTTTCGTATGAAGTCATTGTGGCAAACTCGTGTAAGTGTTACAAAAATATTTTTACAACCATAATAAACCTCTGGTTTCTAAAGATGCCAATCAGTTAGAAGTGAGAGAGAACTAATAACTGAGATTAGCAAGGCTGATCTATACTTGCTGTAGCAGCAGATGGGAGACTAAACCTCTGTTGGAAAAATGCTTAAAGTTTAGGTTTGAAAAATATATGACAATGTGTATTTTTATGTTTGTAACCATAATATATAAAAGCAATTAAAATGTAGGGTTGAAGAGGAAGAAAAATCATATAATCAAAATAGAGCATTTATCTTTAATAATATAAAGCAGTCTTCCATGGAAATGAGTATCAGTGTATTTACTGTTTATTGCCCTTTTCACTCATTCACGGTTTATGCTGGGTTTGTGTCATTTCAGAAGCCACTTGGATATGCATATAAAAATTATAATTACCTGCTTTCTAAAAAGGTCAAATCCCAGGGATTGCGGAAAAAGGAACCTGCTGCATTCTCTTACCCTGAAAGTTATAGCCCAACTATACCAGTAGGAAGGCGGGACATTGATTCCTATAGCAACTTCGGAGGCAGGTCTTTTCACTCGGATGAGTCCCTGAATCAGGAGCCGGAGTCCCACTACCAGGAGCAAGAGCTGGGCTTCTGCCAGAGCCCGCCACTTTGCCCAGACGCCTACCAGCCGTGCTACACGCCCGATGAGCCCACACAGGGCTCCTCTGTGCCCTGCTTCGGCAGCCCAGGAGCCCGCAGCACCAGCAGTCTCTATTCTTCGGCCCAACCCACCTCGGCCATGGCCCAGCGTGAGCCCAGTCCGGGACACAACCTGGAGATGATGGCGTACCCACCTCTCATGGAAAACAGGAGCCTTGGCCAGACCACCTCATCTCTCGGCATGCCGGGCGGCTTCGGTGAGTGTGAAATGACGCCTATGACACATACCATTGCGTATGCTCTGTTCCTTAGCATCCTTGATGCAAGCTTGTAGAAGCTGTTTGTTTCCTATTTTGAGCGCTGGTTTGGAGTGAGATCCACAGCGAGAATAACGTTTCTTGAGCGTCTGTTACGTGCCAGGCACTCTGCCAATAAGCTGACATGCCTCTTCTCTGCTGATACTCAGAATGATCCCATTGTGAGTTTTTTAATCTTCTGTTTTTCTTTGCCTTTTCCCTGGGTAAATATTCAAAATGCTCCTAAAATGACCAGAGCCCAGATGATAGGAAATAAAAGGTGCACTTTGGGCTAGTTCACATACAAGAACGATCAAATTTGTGTTGATGGTCCTTGGTTAGAGAAACTCATCTTCCTAGCACATTACAGAACCCACTCTGTTACCACACTAACTTTAGGGAGTCAGGCGCTCTGGTTGAGTAAATGTATACTTGTCTGGACACAGAGAAGTTTCAGCACAACTTAGTGAACAGCACAGCTAAAACTTTTTGAGGTATGAGCACTTAAATCGTTTCATGTCTCAGTTATTTCTTTTTTTCTTTTGTTCCAGTAGACTTTTTAAAATTTATTTTTTATTTCTATATTTATTGTTTATTTCTATGATTATAAAACTACTTACAGTGCAGTTTATTGTATGTAAATAATATGTCAGTAAAGCTACATTAAAAAGTACACATGTACCTGTTTTTAAAAATAAACAACAAAAAGGAATGAAACGGAAAGTAAAAGTCCCACAGTGGAGGTGGGTGTTTGGGATAGAGTAAAGGTGAGTTGGTTATTTCTTTTTTAAAGGTAAACCTTCAACCAAAATATCTATCACTATGCAGTAAACTTCAAAGAGGTATTCAGTGTAATGTTAAAGTTACTTCTGATCTCCTAAGCAGAAAATAATCTTATTTTCTTCAAAATCCAGGTAAGCATTTAAACCTTGAGAGACAGGAATTTTAAAGAATAAAAGTGATGCTAAAAAATATCCATATTGAATACATAGGAGAGATTTGGTAAAAGAATCTGGTTCTCAAAGACAGTGGAGGCTGTTGAAATTCATTGATTAAAGTGAATAAATTTAAGCAATTATAAAACTGTAAATTGTAAATAGCTAGTAAAATCAACCTAATCTGGAGAGATGGAGAGGGGAGAGATTGAGAGAAATTCTTTGAAATACTTTAAGAGAACAATAAGTTAGTTTAGATTAACCTAATTTAACCTAAGTAACAGATCTTTTGCAGTATTTGCCTGTGGCCAGAGGCCTCGGATCGCTCAGTCTCTTTTATGATCTTTGAAGCTTTTAGGTACCTTTGGAAGCTGCTTTAGTTGTTTGGGGGAGGTCAGGGGGGATGTTCGTGGGGAGCCATCCTCAGGTCATCTATATATAGGCTCTCTCTGGATTTTACGCTTGGAGTCCTGGGTCCATGCCGGGGTACTTCACAGAAGGTTCCAGGAATGAGACCATTACTCCCCACCTAACATCTCTTCTTTCAGGATCATGATCAAGTCAAGTATGATTTGTCTTTTCTCCCCCTACTGAAGCTCCCCCTTCACCAGTTGGAAATGACCCGGGTGTCCAAAAACAGACCTTCTCTGATGACCCTTCAACCTGGTCCGTGGATGAAGTGATCCTGTTTTTGAAACATGTAGATCCTCAGACACTCACCCCCCTCGCTGACCTCTTCAGGCAACATGTAATGTATCTTTTGATCCAGTTTTCCTGTCGTAATGCCTTTGAATGACCTCTCTGCAGGCTCTTCGGTTGGATACTGATTAGTGTGGATGGTGGGGGAACCTATCAACTGATTTGTCCATATGTGAGGAAGTTTACTTTGCCCAGAGTTAGATCCTTAAATGGTCGAGGCTGGATCTGTCCTTTAAAAGGTACCCAAATACCTAAAATACTACAAGTCTTCAAGTTCTCAAGAGAAGATGATTCAGCACAGCCACTCTCAGGTGTCTTTTTTGTAATGACAGTTACAAGGATCCTCCTCCCCACCTGCTGCCTGCTCGGCCCCAGGACCGTGAGTAGGAGGGGTGACCACAGCTGTGACAGGGTGTCCTCCTTGTTAGGATGCCCCAAGAATTCAGCAGCTGATTCCATTTGGCTCAGTTCTGTTAACCTTATATGGTCACTGACGATTTGGGATGCCCTTACCCTCATGCCATTTGCAAAGTAACATCATGGGCTAAATTTTTCTAAGTTTAATTTCTTTAATTTCTAGTTTTACTTGGTAGAAAATGTATAAAACATACCTGACAAAGGCAGCACTGTGAGGGGTTTCAGGTCTTTTCAGCCAGTGATGTATGATTCAGTGCACTTTTGTTTTTAAATCAGAGCTCCCGAAAACCAAGTAGCCTGCTTCAGCACCATCGGCTGATCAGTTAATGTAATAAAGAATTGTAGGAGGATGCCTTGTGACTCTCAAGTAATATTTTATAATGTTTCCTAACAAATAAAATTAGTGCTCACACATCTGATGTATCCTTTCCAATGTGATAAGAAAATCAGTAATCAGTCTTTAGCATCTAATTAGCTTCAGACAACTGACTGATTCGCTCCCTACATTAACACCAGACTGTACAGCACGCTCCCAGCAGACACACTCCCAATGTCAGCCCTTCCAGGAAAGCTGACGACCAGCTGAAGTGTATTTCTACCATTCATAGTTTTTAGTCTTTTTGTCATAGCTTTGCAGCATTTTATTCAGCACATGGTATTTAAAATTAGGTAGTCTGAGGCTTAGGACATTTTAAAGATATTAGGTTAAATTTCCTCTTTCTGAAAATTTGAAGTAAATTTACAAATGATTGAGTGATGCTTCACTGTATGAATGATATTTGTAATAGTTTTCAGCCAGCAGTTGCATACTCAGAAAACATATAGCTGGGTGGGCTGTTCTCTAACTGCTGTCACATGTGCTTCCATATAAAGGAATAACCATTCTGATAAAATATGAAAACACGTTAATTATTTTAACTTCCTTCTCTCTGTAGGACATTGATGGGAAAGCTCTGCTGCTTCTCAAGAGCGACATGATGATGAAGTACATGGGCCTTAAGCTGGGGGCAGCCGTGAAATTGTGCCACTACATTGAAAAGCTTAAAGAAAAAAAGAAATTTGTCTATTGAAAAAATGCTTGTAGGTTAGATTGAGCTTAATTCTGGGGAGACCAATGCTGTCTTTTTTCCTGCCCTTAGAAGTTTTGTTATGGAGAAGATTCCTCTAAAATATGTTTTATATCCAGAAGTGCAGAACCACATTACAGTCCTGTCTGCTTCCTGAGAAGCCATTTAACATGTTAAGATGAGCAGTGTCACATTGGTGGTCTTTCTATCTTTGCATTATTTTCATTGCATAGTTGACAGATATATTTCATGCAGTAAACAGAGAAATACTTTGTTTTTGGTTAATGTTTATATGTAAAACCAAAACTGCTCAATCCCAGGGGAAAGTATCAGGGACTGACAGGTTCTCTAATGAAATCCATGCAAAGTTTTCTTTAGAAGAGAATTTAAAGATGTAGCTTTAGATAGCTCTTTCTCACATATTTTATGTCTGTTACTGCAATGTTCTGTTCACGTTCTAATAGTTTCTGGAATGGGAATAGACATATAAAGTATCTTCCTTTCTGTTATTATTTCTCCCTATGTTGTATCTGTACCTATTCAAAGAAAAAAAAAGCAACCCTACAAGCTTTCAAGAAGTGTTATTATCAGTTTTTTTAATTATAAGGTAGGTAAAATAGTCACTTTATGCAGGAGATATTAAACTATGCAGGGTGGTTTGGCTAGAGTCTGATTATATTCTTTCTAATCAGATACCTATTATTTTAAAACTTCCATATTTTGCCTAAGTTTGGACATTTAACTAGGCATTCGTTGCTCACATCTCTCCATGAAGATGCCTATGTCCAAATTTTTAAAAGATAGAATTTTTAACAGAGTTTATTGTCTGTTTATTCCTTATGGATACTGTTTCATATTTATGTTTCATTCTATATCTGAAGTATACACACAAGTAAATCTTTTCTTTTTTAATTTAAAATGGCACTTTACACTTCTACAGAGGTAAATATTAACTCTGTGTATAGTAAGATGTTTTTATTCTGTAAGACACACGCATAGCACTTGCCATCACTGGTACCTCTCAGCTCACTCTTCAGGGTTCCCGAACAGGGAAGTTCTGTCTTGTGCAATGTTTCTAGTTTATTTGCTTTCTGAGCCACTTACCATACTAAACTTTGGAAGGTACATTAATTCTAATTTGTCATTTTAAATTTTATTTTAAAAATTAGAACTTTCAAATGAAACACGTTCATTGTCATTATTCTGTTATTTATTACATCTTATATAATATTCAGCATAATGTTTATAAGCTATGAAACTTGGTGCTTATTGTATTAACCATTTGTTATAAATGCCAGTAAGATGTTCATCAGGGGCAAGAATACACAATTTCTCTTTAGAAAACCAAGTGTACTTTATAAGCAAAGGCAACCATTTACTGGGCATATGTGATTTAAAGGGTAATTTCATCTGTGTTATTTCTTTTGTTATAAGATTCTAATTTAAACCTGGTCTTCTCTCACATTGTATGCGTGAAGATGCTGTGCCCACTTGAACAGTCCTCAGGTGTTTGTATAAATACTATGTTTTACAGTTTTCAGATTTTAAAATATAATAAAGTTTAATAATCACAACCATTAATGTCAAAGCCTCAGAGTTGATTTTTACTTGCTTAAAGACTTAGAGCCAGCAGTGATGCATGTTATGAGTAGTTACACTTTGTGACAGCTTCACCAGAGAATTCTCTTTCCATCCTGAACATCAGGGCAAAAGTATGGCTAACACAGTAACTTTCACAAGTACAGACCTCAATTAGCAGAATTAAATATCCAATGAAACATAGTATTTTTCTCTCTAAATTTACCCTCATCTCCACCAAACATAGCCAAATCAAGACTAATTTGTTTATAAAATAAGGCTGGTGAGTTGACCACATGGGCTCCTCCAAACTGACTATGTGGAACTCCTCAGAAGCAGTCTCAGACTGAATTCCCACAAGGCCTCTCAAAGCTAGGAAAGCCATGCCAAAGGCCTGCCATCAGGCTCCACCTCGGTGGACTTCTCTCTTCTAGAAGTCCCAAAAAAATCGAGATTCCAGCGCATGCCAAGAGACAGTCTTTCTCATTCACCTCATAAGGCTGCTCAGAACCCAAGAGTCTCCAATTTCTGGGGAAACCAGGTTGAGAGAAAAGAAAAATATTTCAATTCTACCAACAAGTGTAGTTTACCAAATTGCTATGAATCATAACTAACCTGAGGGGAAGGGCTTCCCTGTATCTGGAAAACACAGATCAAAACCAGTAGTATTCTGGAATAAAAACCATAAAATTACAACCATAATCACCAGTTCACTCAGTAACCAATCCTTTTAAGTTTCTATGAAACCATCAGGTTTTTCATTAGGATTCTTTAATTTCTTAACCAGTTCAGTGGTATGATCTGAAATTTATCAGAGACCTGTACTTGTCAAAGGGGCCTTCCTAGGAGTCTTCTTGAAGATGAAACACTTCTGCAAAAGCATCAGAGTACAACAATAACTGTCTATAAATGACAAGACTTGAAAAGTCAACAGTTAAACACCTGATTACAATGTAATCTGTAAAGAAACCCAGTTACAATAACTAGGATTATGACTGATTATAATCTTAACCCTTGAAAACCTTAATCTTTGGCAAATACCAACAAACAAGTAATTGTGAATTGTGTCACACCAGCATTTCCTACTCGGTAAATTTACGCTTTAGTCTTCCTAAGAAAGCAAAGGTAGGTAAACTTAGATTTGCCCAGCAATTAATGTTCCAGTATTTTATCCTATTTGAAATGACCCAAATAATCAGTGAATTCTCTTCACTTCACTTAGTTTAGTTTCAAGTTAGCAAAATCTGGAAAGACTATTTTAGGTAGACAGTCCCAAAACATAATTATTCCTATAGTGTTTACCTAAAAGCTCTTTTCTCATTCACATTTACTTAAAAGTTTCATCATATCAAGTTATTTTCCTTGCTGACAAATTTGTAACATATAATAAGGTCTCATTTGACTTCTGGTAAGCCTAGGTACAGCAGAAGTGCAACTTACATTGATGACTCTAAAGACATACCTATATTAATCAAACCAACAAACTTAAGCTAGCTTCAATACCAGATGTCAATTCAGTACAATTTCCCAGGTCACATGAACCTGGGAACGGAAATTCATTCAGGCCAGTCTCGTGTGTGTCTGAGAATTTATACAAATGCTTAATTTCTTTTAAGCCAATTAAATAGCGCTCATCCACAAAACAATCTTGGCGATGCCATTTGGAGGGAGAGACAGCTTATATTTATAAGGTACACACAGACATACATCTATACAGACACAGAGGTCTTAGTTTTCCTGCTAAAGCTTAAAAAGGCCTCTTTTTGTATGAAATAATGCCGTTTGCAGCAACATGGATGGACCTAAAGATGATCACACTAAGTGAAGTTTAAGTCAGAGAAAGACAAATACCATGATATCACTTATATGTGGAATCTAAAAAATGATACAAATAAACTTTACAGAACAGATACAGACATAGAAAACAAATTTACAGTTACCAAAAGGGAGAGTTGGCGGGGAGGGATAAATTAGAGGAGTTTGGGATTAGCAGACACTAGCTACTATATATAAAATAGATAAACAACAAGGTCCTACTGTATAGCACAGGGAACTACGCTCAATATCTTCTAATAAACCATAATGGAAAAGAATCTGAAAAAGAATATATGTATGTATAACTGAATCACTTTGCTGTACACCAGAAACCAACATTGTAAATCAACTACATTTCAATAAAAATAATACTAAAAATTTTTTAATTAAAAGGCCTCTTTGTTTTTCTTCATTCTCAGGGATCAGATGATTAAAGTTCCTGAGAGCCCAGGTAGATCATATACATCTTTAAGCCAAAGGAGGAGAAATACCAATTCCTTCTAGAAAGCGAAGTTCCTCTGACGGCATACGCAAAAACCAGTTTTAGAATTTCAAGAGTCCCATCTTGGACATTTTCAGGGATTTGCTCTTCAGTTTATAAATAGCCAATTCAGTTTAAACCAGTAACAATACTAGACAATAATACCTATCATTCACATGCCTCACTTTCAGCAGAACAGGAATCAGCATTCAAGTTCACCTTGGCCTCAGCTGTTAGCTCCCTCTCTGTGACCTTTCTTAACAGAAAACGCAACGCCAGCCCACAGCTGTGGCCTCACCGTCTAACTTTTCTTCCTCTGTCGCGATGGCCAGTATCTCCTCACAACCTGAGGGGTGTCCGCGTCCTCCGCACTCCCTGGGCGTCCCCCATTTACAAGGACAACACCCACCACCTCCGCAGGGCCCCTGCACGAACGAGTGCACAGCCACCCTGGGACCTCCCCCCAACTTTCGGAAAGCACCCCGGGACTTTCAGGCCCCATGTGTGAGTAGACGGCCACCCCAGGATTCCCCCCCCGCAATTTCCCATCCCTCCTCATTTCCCGACATCTCGGCGCTCACGGGCGTTTCCTCGGTCTCCTGGCTGCTACGCCAATTGCTGGGCTGCACCCCGCGGCCTGCAAGGCCCGTAGTCTCCCAGTTTCAAGACCAAAGAGCGAGCCTGGAGTCGGCAACAGAGACATCAGTGGTTTCACCCATGGGGGAACTTACACGTCTGAAGAAAGTCCTGGAGAGACAGCCCGCTGTTGGCAGCAGAGGAAGGCGGCAGGCTTTGCTCCAGGAAGGGGAGGGTCTCAGTTACAGGAATTGATGTCAGGTGGGCTTACCAGTTAACAGGGAAAACAGCAGAAGGGCACGCCCCTCATGGCCTTTTGAGAAGCTCTCCAGGTGGAGATGTTCTGATCTAAAGATTAGGCGTTGGGGGAGGGTACAGCTCCATGGTAGAGCGCATGCTTAGCATGCACGAGGTCCTGGGTTCAATCCCCAGTACCTCTGTTAAAAGGTAAGGAGCATAATTAACAAAATAAACATTAGGTGAAGCAGGCACTGGTTGAGCAAGGGATGTACCCAGAGCAAGAGAACAGCCATCTTGGGTGGCCTGACCATACAGACTCCCTCTGTAAGCATGAAAAAGCCATGCCCTTCTGCCATATTATTAGAAATTAAAAATTAAACATCACGACTAGGAACCTCAACTATGGGAGGGAAAGCGCTGCTTTTTCCACCTACATAAGGAACTGTACTCACAGTTGGCTGAATAAATGAAGTATGTTTAAGATTTTAGGGCTGATTCCACAGAGCGCTGCTGGGACCTGCTTATGTTTATAAGACCTCCAAGGCTGAGGCTTCCCCGCGTTTCCCGTGTTGCCCAGCGGCTTGATGAAAGAGCACCTCAGAAGCAGCTCTGAGCAGGGAGCGCACACTCAGACCAGCTGGCCGAGTCTCCCTGCTGTACTAGACGCAACTCAGGTGTTGCGGGACTACCTTCTCTGGCCTTAGGGCTGCTAGGGGGTACTGAGGGGAGAGCCTTAAGATACAGGTGGAAAAAAGGGGGAAAGGAAATAAATCCCTTTGTCTTTCAGAGGTTTTTTTTTTCAAGAACCTTTTCAAGATTCAGTTTCATCAAGTTGCTGGACAAAACAGGGGAAACGTCACGTTGCAAGGGAGAGGAACCAAGCTGTCTGCCACGCACTCCTAAGGCGGGCCCTGGTTGGCACATCCTCCCTACCCGAGAGCCGCCCGGTTCCCTGGGTCGGCGTCGGAGGACTTAGAAATACAAGCAAGTCTCTCTTACATATGCCTGAAAAAGCCTCTCACGGTTGGTTTTTGCCAATATACCCTCTCTCTCCGTGAAGTGTGGTCATTCGTGGCTTGGCCCAAGCTCCACTTCCTGCTTTTTCCTTCGGTGACATCATTTCCAGCAGTGCCCAGACCCCCAGCCAAGCGCTGGAGCCGAGACAGCAGAAAGGCATGCCGCTCTCGGCGGTGGGCGGGCGGGTGGTGCACCCAGGCCGCGCAGGCGCAGCGCTGTCGGTGGAAGCCGACGCACACCAAGGGCCTGGCCAGGAGCACGCACGTGCTGAGAATGGTGTTTTTTGTACATGTATTTTAAAAAGTGAAGGTAGGAGAAAGTACCCTAAAGAAAGGTACTAAATGATTGGCAGGCAGCTCGGCATCTAAGAGTAAACAAAATTGGTGAGATCCCTGACCTGAAACTGTCTGTCTGGGAAGATGGTGTTAGAAAAATACAGATACTTGGGTAATTTATTAGTGTACAAGATGCAGCCAAGGTGAAGCAGCCATGAGAGATACACGAGATACACCTTTCTCCCGAGTCTGAGAGGGTGTCCTTTCAGCCAGGATCAGAGGACCACGAGCCACAGGGCGGAAGGGAGATGTGCGCTGAGGCCAAGCACGCTGCGGATGGGGTAAGTGTCTGCAGAGACCCACCTACATTTCTTTTAGTGCGTTTCTGGGTTTCTTTTTAACACGTCATAAATACATCTGGTGATCATTTTATCAGAAACCTTAATCTTTTCCCCTATGGTAAATCAACTGCATGCCATTTACTGAACAAGACATCTTTCCCCAAATAGTAAAAAACCACCTTTGTCACAGATTGAATCCTTAAATAAAAATGTTAAGAAAACATGAAAATGTTCAACCTGACTACTAATCAGACAAGT